CAGTGACACGCCCACCAAACTGTGTGATTTGTGTCTTCTACCAAAAAGCACAAGTTGCTTTTGTTGATAACTTTTGCACCAACACAGAATTGTCAATTGACCAATTGTCCTTGTCTGAGTCAAACACTACACTCCCAATTTTCATTCCCGTCAACTTCTCAAGACTGGCTTTTTCTTCTTCTTCATCGTGTTGTTTCTTTGAATTGATGTATTTCTCAGATTTCATAATTTGATCAATTTTAGTGTTTTTTGCTTGTTTGATTTTGTCAATTTCGTCTTCAAGAGGTTTTATATCCATTTTACACTTCTCTTCAAGAAGTAAAATTCTGAGATTGTTAATCTCATACAATTTGTTGTTGTCATTCTCTGTTAAGTACGCCATCTCACTTTTAATTTTGTTTGATGCGTTATCCAAATCAGTGACGATTGTGTTAAGTAAAGTTGTAATGTTCTTCTTTCTCTCAAATACCTCATCAAGTCTGTCGAAGTGTCCCTCTGCATTTTCAATGCGTTGATCAATGTCAAGTGACTTGTCGTCAACAAAGTTGTATTCCCTTTTCGATTTGTTGAAATCTGACACCGCCTTTGCTGCGTTTGTGCAGAGTGTAGAGAGTGCTGTTAACTCGTTTTCCATGTATGTTAATAGAGTTTTTTGTTTTTATATTTAATTCAACTTTTTATAAAACTCATTTAAATGGTTTATTAATATAATATTTATACTATATACAAAATAAAATTATTCATTATAATTGATACAATTATAAAATATTAGAAATTGTTTAATATATGTAATTAAACTTAAAACCACAGAATTATAAATGTAATTTTTTAACTATTAAAGAAAAAAAATGGGGAAAATAAGTAGATATTGTTATAATTGCCAAATGATTATTTTTACTAATAAAATAATTTAAAGCAAAGTTAATATTTGGTTTTTAATAATTTTTATTTTTTTAACTAAATATTGTTTATTTTATGTTGCCATTAAACAAATTTGGCTATAATGTATACAAAAATAATGACGAATTATTTTAATAAATCCAATAATATATAGTAAATAAATTATATATAAAAATAATTATAATAATACAAAATAACAATAAATTTTCATATATTTTTGTGAAAAACGACTAGCACAATTATTTAAATGAATTATTATAGTTTAATGGTTTGATAAATCCCAGTATTTTTTAAATCATTATACCTTTGAAAAAAATAACGATAGACTTTTTCACAAAATAATAATATAATTAAATTAAAATGTATAGTAAATTAACTATTTGGAAAAAAACACCAAAAACAAAAACCGTTTCGTTTATTTGTAAAAATACATTAATGCAACCAAACAAAATATATCAATATTATTAAATAAAATTAATAATTTATAATAATACAAATTTATAACAGAATTGTTTCGTTTATTGAATTGATCTTTAACCAGGGTCCTCCTTTTTCCAAACCCTTGTCATAAAAACTGTAAACGTGGCATATTCATAAAACGTGGCAACTTTGAATTAAAAAAATCTATATTGATAATAAAACATATTAATATCAGCATTTTTAAAAAGATGGTTTTTAAAACAGAAATTTTGTGAAACCACTTTAAAATAAACAAGATAGTGTTAGGAAATTTCAAAATAATTAATAAAAACATCAGTCAATTGTTTTTGTTAAACAAAACATAAAAATTACTAAATTTATAATAGTTCCATTTTATTGAGAGCTCTGTCTTTGACGTACATTCTCGCTCGAAGCGAATTATGAGAAAAATTGTTTTTGTTGTATCTTTTCAGTAAAGAAAAACTGGATTCACATACAACAGTGGTGGGTGACATTGCAAGAAACAATGCTAATAAACAGTAAAGTTTAGATCCACTTTCAAAAAATGCATAATCAAGTAAGTCCAAAGACGAACTTAGATCCCAAGGATTTAAACTTCGTGTCAGTATAACTTTTTTTCTGTCAGAGTCTTTCGACGGAAACCCTCAAGATCCGGAGCTCCTCTGAGTTTATTCATTTCATCCTGGAGATATACAATATTTATATTAAGTAGCTTTTTGTTGTAATATAATCTTGAAGTTCATTGTTATTTCACAAAAATCGTCTAACTGTCCAAATTCATCCGTTTGTAATTTTTTTGAAAGTAGACTGTTACCCATTCTTTTGATATACTCGACGTTGGTTACATGATAAAATGGATATGTTGCAACTGATGCAAAGCGGACCTCGAGGGCAGAATGTAAACATTTCAACATTGAATACATTCCTGTTGTTGAAATTGTCGAGTCCTTAAATCAATCGAGATGTGGAAAGTGTATAAAAAAAATATTTACAATTTATATTTTCATCTCTTCAATCTTTTCATAATATTTTTGCACCATCTTATAACTTTTAAACAAAATATCTCTTTTTGATTGAAACTCTCGGTTTAATTCTTAAGCAATTCTTAATGTATCTAAAATAAAAGAGACTTAAGAAACTTAAATTATATTTAAGTTTCTTACTTGTGAATAACTCTCTAAGTTCACCAATAATATAATCACCATATTCAAATTCATCATTCGTTGAACATTTCAAAAGGATTGTGATGTTGTTCTAATTATTATTTACCCACCGAAAGACACACTCAAGTTAAAGTAATTCAGTTTTAACGTAAGTTGGAGGAGCACTTTATTTTTTCCTTACAATTTAAACATCTCGCGTTAAAATTACAATGTTCAGAACACTTCTTACTATCTTTTTTTAAAATATTTCCAAACAAAGGAAACTTCTTTATTGAATTCTTGCATGTATTTTTTTAAATATAAGTTTTGTTTTTTGGAATGATAATAATTTGAATTAAATAAACGTTTTTATTTAATTTTTAATTAGTTTTTTAGTTGACACCAATTGTTTTTTGCTGTCTGTTGAAGGGATTAGTTTTTTTTGAAAAAAAACAGTTAAGTATTAATTTAAATATTCAAGTTCTTTATAGTTTTCTTTCAATTGTTCAAAAACGACAAAACTGTTATTTCTTTTTTATTTTTTAAATAATTTGCATTTTTGGTTCAAAAAAAACTTATGTATTTTAATAGTGAATTGTGTATACGTTTCAGAAAAAAATAGAAATTTGTCCTTTTTTACCATTTTTAGTAAAAACAATAAATTTGAGCAATATCATCTTTGTTATTACTAAAAAAGAGTCTCTCTAACATTTTGGATTTTTTTACTCTTGCGATTGCGCACCCTATTTAATTACACTTCATATTATTAGTTATATTATTAAAATGTTTAATTAACACTGATATCTGTGATAATTTAAAATTATCTTAACTGATTTCATAGCTTTCTTATTCGTTTTACAATGTGTTGAATTTTTTGACGTGATTTTAATTAATATATATTTTTTATAAACTTGATCAAAAAATCACCAATTTTTTCGAGAATAGTTCGTTATATATTATAATTGAACTATATTTTTACCTTTTAACCCAAACTTGTTGTTTCAGTCAGAATTGTCATACTTTAAATATTAAATGGACTATGTATTAATCATAAAAAATAATCTATATTTAAAACTGATAACTTATTAAAAAATTTCAATCCATTCGCTTTTATTAATATCCCCTTATTATTTTTATTAATATTCTGGTATATTGCAGGACCAAATGAATATTAAATTTGGTTTTTGCAGAGCACTCAAAGTATCCCACTGCTCCAAAACTTTGTGCAAATTTGATTCCGTCTTCTGTTTCAATCATTTTTCTTCCCATTTGTTTTAGTTGAATTATTTCGTCTTTGTCTTCTCTCATATCAGATTTGGTTCCCACAACAACAATTGGTATACTTTTTTTGTACTTTCTTAATTGATTAACAAACCGCTTTTTGGCTGTTTTTAGTTGTTCTTTGTCGTCTAAGGAAATACAAATAAATGCACATTTGGCCATTTGAATTGTTATGTAACGCAGCGCATCATTTTTAATTTGACCAGAAGTATCACATAATCTGACATCTGTTTTAAGTTTGTCATTCATTTTAAATTTGTATTCTCCTATTGTTGTTGGTTCATAATATTCACTAAAAGTTATGTTGAACAACCGATTTAATAATTGTGTTTTACCAGAAGTTTCATCGCCGCAAAAAGCACAATAAAACACTGAGTTATACATATTTGTTTTTGAATTTATTTTTTGTAATTTATTCATTGGGTAAAACATTTGAAAACAATCGTTATAATAAATGTGAAATGTTATCAACGAAAAATAATTAATTATATTATATCAATCATGATTTATTATAACATCATTTAAATATAATTTTAATAGTAAATAAAAAATTTAATTATATTGTTTTTAATAAATTAAAATATGTTTTCATGTTTACAATAATTTTTGATATGCAAAACGGGACCTACATTGACCACCACCACCTCTTAAAATAGATTTATTTTTTCTATTTCGAATTATATTCAAATTAAAATTATAGTAAATGGGCGTTTTGGATAATATTAGGTCTGGTTCCCGAATTCAAGAAATGCCGAAAATTCACCTCGAGTTAGTGGAAACCGAGTGAGACGGAGCATTGAAAAGAAGGCTCTGAAGACGCACTTAAACAGTCTGTTTGTGCACCGTTTCACCCACTTTCCAAGTCCTCCCTTGGCGCGGATCCCCCCTGACCCCCCCCGCTTGCGGGGGGGGGAACCACATCCGCGTCCACACAGTACGGACAAGGAAAGTGGGTGACATGGGGACGCACAAACAGTGGCTGAAAAATGGACTTCCTTCAAAAAACACTCGCGGCAAATATTTTTTTTGGTAAACGGGGTGAGGGTGGTCAATGTAGGTTTTATGCAAAACTTATATATTTTTTTGTGGTTTATTTTTATATTAAATGATATTCAAACTACTTTTGTCACTTAACTTTTTGGTTTATTATACTTGATTTGTAAATGCATAACAAACTGAAAAAAAACACGGGTTTATACAATATTTTAAATTCGTATCATAATGAAATGATAAATTATTTATGTATTAAATACTTTAATAATAAACAACAATTAAGAATAGGGTGCGCAACCGTAAGAATTAAATATTCTTTTTTAGTAATTATTATTATTTGAGTGTAAAAAAAAGTTTTATATGCCACTTTTTAAAAAAAATGGAATAAAACCATAAGATCTGTTTAAATATTGATACGTGTTTTTTAAAATTATATAAATTGCAACTATTTTTTCGGCCCAAAAAAATAAAAATTAATTATTATTAAAAACATCTTTTTGGGGTTTTTGTTTTTTATCAATTAAAAATTGAACAAACATGAAAAACAATGTAACAAATTAAATTTTAATTTTAAAAAATAAAAAATAAAAGACGGCAAAATAATGATTCTGGTGTTTCAATCAAAACAAATCGAAATGTTAATAATTATAATAATAATTATTACACAAACAAAATTTAAGATAATAATATTCTATTATAAAAATAACATTTGTCACCCTTTTAAAAATAAGGGTTACAAATAATATGAAATAAGTTAAATAATTAACTTATTTGAAACTATACATATTATTAATATAACAATCTTAATTAACATATGCAAGATCATTCCCATGACAACTCTCTTGTTTAGAAATATTCCAAAAAACATTTGAGTCCTTGTACGAATCATTGTTCTATTGATACAACATGTACAAATTGTAAAACAAGTGTCATTTGTTGTTTTTGTCGAAAAGAACTCATTTTTGAAGAAAGTACATCATCAATGAGAACACATCTTTTTTCTTTGCATCCAGAAAAATTAAGTGACGAAGAAATTGATTATTTTGAAGTACTCAGAACATTTTCACCAAAAAGTATCGAAATAAATACTCTTTTTTTAAAGTTTTTTGTCACTGGTAATGTTTCTTTAAGAGAAATAACAAACCCATATTTACTTCAATTAATAAATGTATTAGACCCAACTATTAAACGTTGTGGCCAAACAACCTTTCGAACATCATTGTTAAATAAAGTTTATAATAATAAAATGTGTGATTATGTTAAAGAAATGAAGAATATTATTAAAGGTAATTACGGATGTGTTTCAACTGATATAATGTCCAAATTTGGGAATAGTTACAATACAACAACTTTACATTTTATCGACCAAAATTTTGTTTCTAAAAATTGTGTCTTAGATGTAAGTGTTTTTAATGAAACACACACATTAAAAAACATTAAAAACAAAACAGAAAATGTTTTAAACAAATATGGAATAACGAATTCTGTTAATTACATCGTTTGAGATGGTAGTGCTAACAACAATGGATTAAATAACATTTGTGGTGAAAAGTTTAACTGTGTTGTTCATGGAATTAATCTTATTTTTTCTGATTTAATTAAAACTATTCCAGAGTTGAATGAAACATTGAAAAAGATAAATAAAATATCAAAAATGTACCATGTATCACCATCCAAACGCATTAATTTAAAAAAGAATTGTGAAGAAAATGAAAAGAAATATTGTTGTTTGGCAACTTTTTGTAAAACACTTTTTAATTCGTGTTGTAAATCATTGGAAACGGCTCTTCAAATGGAAAAATCAATAACCACAACAGATGAAAACGAAAGACTAACAAATGATAAATGGATAGATATGAAGAAAATATTATTTTTCGTTATAATAATGAATATTGCTTACAATAAACTTTCCACAAACACTACACCAAACTTTTGTTATGTATGGGGAATATTTAAAGAAATATGAAAAGTTATAAGAAAAAATAAAACACAAACATGGAATTCCCCCAAAGAAAATTCGCATATAATTTTCAGATTTCCGATACACAATTCTATTAATAAAATAACGGCGATGTCCAGACTACAAATACCATCTATGCGTTTAACCCCATCTTGGCTCATCTTGGCTCATCCGTGCAGCCAACACCACTAACAGCGTCGACTATTTTATCACCACAAAAATCTTTTTCGGGTTCAGATTATATATTTGGCAAAGACTGGAAACAAATTGCTTGATATGGGTTCGTCAAGAGATTCGAGAATCTATTAAAGGAGAAACACGCTATAAAATAGCGCGTTTTCTGTTTCCTCCAGAACGTGACAAATATTTAGATGAATCTGAAAAAGAAAAAATCAGAAGTGAGATTGAAAAAAACCTAATAGAATTTACTGATATTTTCCCAAGAAAATTAACCATTGATATTTTAGTCGCCGAGGAAAAAAATGTTTCTAATTATGAAATCAAGTTTGTAGAAATACAAAGGGAATTGGGAATGTATTTGAAAGACGAAGGAAAGAACGGAAATAAAATTGTTGACGACCCTTTGATGTATTGAAACAACAACGATTGTCTTTATTTATAGGAACTTTCCCACAAATACTTATCTCTCCAATCAACCAGTATGGACCTGAAAGGGTGTTCAATATAATGGAAACAGTGTTATTAGATAAAAAAAATCGTATGAATTTCAATACTGCTTCAAAAATTACACTTTTGAAAATTCAAATATAATAAAAGTAAGTCTGATTATTTTAGTTTATTTTTCTAAAATAATTAATTTTTTATTGTTTAACAAAGTTGAAAATGTATAGATTTTTCATTCTAATATGTAATTTTATAATTAATGTTTGGCTTAATATTATTTCGATTAAATTTATTACTTAATGCGATCACAGTGAATTTGATAATCATCTTGAAATGTGAAAATCACTATGTAAAAAAATTCACAGTGTTTTTTGAAATCTATTTATATGGTGATGATTTTAAAAATATAACAAAGAAAAAATTATTTTTACTATACACGATGATGATTTTTAATAATAACCATATTTTTGACTAATAAGAAAAACAAACATATTGCAATTTATAAAATTAATTATATATAGTATATATAATCAAAATATATTAATTATTTTGCAATCGAAGGATTATTTTTTAAAAAAATATATAGAAATGAAAAGAATTATTTTTACAAATAAATATAAAAACCGCAATTGAGTTGTGTGAACGGGGAATTTGTATTGATTTATGGCAAAGAGTTTCCGTTGATCTTGCAAAGACTTTAATTACATCTCAGTAGCTAGTTAGTTACAATTAACACAAAAATGAAAGTCCTCCACTATTTTTTATTATAACTTTAAAAAACGTAAAAAAAATTGAAATAGAATATTCAATCGTAAATAATCTATAATACAAAATCATCATCTATATATAAAATGTGCATTTTTTATCATCTTAATACAAATTAATTAATACAAAAAAAGAAAAAACATATTGCACTAATAATTTGTATTATTATATATAATATCGTAATAGTAATCTAATCATAATCGTTTATTATATCATTTAAATTATTACAACACTTGTAATTTGATTATTAACATGGAAACTTATTTTAAAGAAACTTGACTCGTGTGATAAAGTTTACATGTAACCATATTTAAATTTATTTGTTTAATAATCAATTGTTAACAAACATACTTAAATATGAATTGTCAAAAGTACC